TTGGTGTATTAACCAAATGTGCGGCCATCCAAGCTGTGCGTGCAGTTACGTAGTAGAGCTTAACTAGTGCGCCTGTGCTGTGCCAGAATTAATGAACTGGACAGAAAATCAGGAATTTGTTAAATAGAACGTCGTCCATGAAAACTGATCTTGGCTTTCACTCAGTAGAGGTTATTTTTCAGAATTCATTTTTGTGAAAAAGGGAGAGAGCAAATGGATGGATACAACAGTCCTGTTGAGCTTTATGAGTGACCACAGGTTATATTGGCTTACTTCATTCAGCAACGGGCTACTCCTTTATTTCCAAAAATTCTTTTGATAGATGCTTTAGAAATAATCATAGTGTATTGGCTGCTTATGTTATGGAGAAGGCAGATCATATACAGCACCGCTCATATTGAAGCAAGTGGTTTGGGTTGGCTACATGTCCATCTTAAGATAACAACAGATAGCCTACAGGCACAACAGCAGGGTAGGCAGCAAGCAAGGATGATTTTGTAAAGCGATCTCACCGATGTCTTCATATAGATCAAAAATTAAATATATTCTGCTGGGTCCGCTTCCAGTGCTAGTGATGTGAAGCAAATGAACCAACACCAGGATTTTAATAGATCATTTAGCCTGTGATTTTAGCATTATTTCAAAAGCTAAACTCTTAATAATCCATCTGCTGAGCTTAAATTGATCGATGAGACATGTATAGGTATAGCCTATTTTGCAAATCATTTGGTAACCACATATGCAAGTCAGTGTTAAAAACCCTGTGCTTGCCTTCAGTGTACTTTGTCAGTCCACAGTTATAAGCCCCCAGTCATTAGGCCTCCTTTAAGTCTTAACGTCATTATTCATAACACGCTGTAGGTTGCAGTCTAATTCTACTAAAATGCTTATCAGTGTGACATCCCCATCTCTTTCAGCTGCTGGAATGTCTATCTCTTTGTGTTCTATGTTGTCCCTCGCTGTCTTCCTAACAATTAAAGTGTGAAAAAAGTGCCCACTGTATAAGGCCCCGCTAGAAGTCTTCACCCCCTCTGCACTAAGCCATCAGCTTCATGCATTCTGCTACGTTATTTATTAGGCACCTTATAAATATTAAACTAATAACATCAATCAGAATAACAGGCAATAGTGGTAAATAAATAATTGCAAACAAAAAGATGAGTAAAAGTAATCTGAATTTATTAAATATTTGTGATAATACAGCAATTTTGTAATAAAATATATATAATAGCATATCATTGGTTTTACACATTATACTGGAAATATAGGACCAACTGTCACCACTGTTTCCTGCAACTGAGTCTAAATTAGTTTATCTTAAAACCAATCTCAATTAATACAGTTGCTGGTAGGTGCAATAAGAACTGTCCACTGAACCTCAAAGTTTACAGTGCACCTAAATTTAGTAAGGCTAAAAGAAACCATTTCATAATTTAATTCAGAACTGTCGCTTTTGTTTTATATCATAGAGTCATGCAGGCTGCATAGGCTAATTCACAGCTACCTTACATCTTACACTGTATTTCTTCTTCAATGAATATTTTTTTGTTCATTTCAACTTGTTTATCTCACATGACAACCGCCAAAATATTTTTCATCTACAGATGTAAACTTCAGGGTTACTAAGCAATTCCAGTTAAGCCTTTCTGGCATCAGTGCTTAAAATTCTCGAGAAGGCTGGGATTGTGCTGTAAGGATGTACAGTAGATTTATGAACTCACTAATAGGAAGAACACCTCACTAGGAAATGAGTAAGAATCTCACACAGTGAAAATCTACTTTATCAAAAACTTTTTTACACCAATATTTTTCCATCTCTCTCTGCGGTTCCTCCTGAGTGACTGAATGAAGAACTGAAATAGTGCAAGTTGGCCCACAATGGCACTCACCAAAACTGAACTAACAATTAACAGCAGTTATTAAACAGATTTTCAGACAAGATTGGGATCACGAGACGAGTCGAGATTTTAACACTATTCTTTTTAGAAATCTTTAATGTTGAATTATATGAAAAATTGGAGCATTAAACACTTTATTTCCTGCATTCTGCCGATTTTTTTATGTACGTAAAGAGAACACAAAATTCAGGTGGCAGGTGACAATTCACAATCTATAGCCTAACTGTAACAGAATATAATGCAGTGCAGCTCTCAGTAATTCTGTGCTGCTATCAGATCTGTTTCTCCTGTAGATCAACTTATTTAATATCATCCCTGCTGATTTATGATTTAGTCTTCCCTCCTCGTTGAATCTTTGTTTGGGGAAGTAACCTCTTAAAATGTGATTGTGGCACCTTTTCACCTCAATGATAAATTATTTAATTTTAATACATTTATAACTCCTTGACTTTATTAGCTACTGTGTTTCAGCAGATCTTCTGCTCATGTTCACTGAAACTGATCAGGCAGAGCTACGTTACAACTCGTCACAGCTGTCAGGACTCACAGCGGGAGCAGGTTCAGTTGATCAGGGCGTACGGCGTGAGAAAAATAATGTTGGCTTGACAATGTGTGAAAAATGTTTAATTTGCTTGAGTTCGCGAGACAGCTTTTTACCTGTCAAGATATCTGGTCACAATTTAATCTCGCAAGATCCCGAGATCTCGTCACACCCCTAGAAGTTAGCCTACTTAGACATGTCTTGTTGGGTTTAAATACTTATGGCCCATAGAATGATATATCGATATTAGAGGTGCAACAACTAATCGACGCAGTTGAAAAAAATATTTACGTCCTTGTAGGTTTTTAATTATTCAAACTGGCCAAAATGGCAAGCATTTCACTACCATTACATTTGTGTATTTTCTATAGCGTTGTTTTGAGTTAAAGTTCAGTCAGTGGCTAACTTACTCTCTGCTCATAAACTCAAAGCATAACGTTACAACGTCAGTCTTCTGCCTGCCAAGAAAGCTTTCTGATGGTCATGCAGTGGTCACTTGCAGTAACACATATCTCCTGTCATGCACATGTTGTGACTGACAGGAGAATTATAGACTAGTTAACTATTGACAGGTATCATCCTGATGGTGTTTAACATTACGTAAGTTAGTTGCTAGCTAATATCCACAACATGTTAGCGCACCTAAAGTAACTAAAGAAAAAGTTGCTCAGAGTTATAAAGTTACAGTTCCATTACCCAAGACATAGCATCAGTTTTAAACTTATCGTTAGCTGTCACGTAAGTTATACGCAAACATTACTTCCATGCTTCACGTATGGGATGATGTTCTTGGGGTTGTACTCATCTTTCTTCTTCCTCCAAACACAATGAGTGGAGTTTAGACCATAAAGCTCTATTTTTGTCTCATCAGACCACATGACCTTCTCCTTTTCCTCCTGGATCATCCAGATGGTCACTGGCAAACTTCAGACAGGCCTGGACATGCACTGGCTTGAGCAGGGGGACCTTGCGTGCGCTGCAGGATTTAAAATTTTTAGATTCCGTCTCTCACAGTTGAAGTGTACCTATGATAGAAATTATAGAGCTCTACATGCTTTTAAAGTAGGAAAACCTGCAAAATCAGCAGTGTATCAAATACTTGTTCTCCCCACTGTATATAATGTTAAATGTACACATTAAATGCATGTGCATGAGCAAAATGTGTGAATGCGTGCATTAAAATATATGTATGTGAAAGTGAAAATGTATGAATGTGTGAGTGAAAATATATGAATATGAGAGTGAAAATGTATGAATGTGTGAGGGAAAATGTATGAATATGAGAGTGAAAATGTATGGATGTGTGAAGAAAATATCTGTATGTGAAAGGAGAATATATGTATGTGAGAGTGAAAATGTATGAATGTGTGAGTGAAAATATATGTATGTGAAAGGAGAAAAGTATGTGACTGAGAGGTCCAGAATAGATTATGGCTTGTATGGCCCCTCATATGGAGAGGCTGATGGCATTTATCCTTCGAAACTGGGGATTGTCTTCAATCACGCTCCTTTAAATCTCTCGCAGGCGAATTACATTGTTGCCTTAGCCATAGTCTGCCTCCAATAGTTGGTCGTCTCTGTGTCCTACAAAAAAAAAAGCGATTACTGTTTACAAAATGGATGCATACAAACACTCTATTCATATGTGAGGCAATTTGATGCATTTGTTTTTACAGTATTACTACCTAAAGTGCACTAGCTACAGTACATGTATGTGTTGTAACAGCAAAGAATAAACCTCATAAGCTGATGATACACGGAGCAACTTTTAGAGCAATGGTGCTGGGCAATGTTGCCGTCAATGGTAATGAGTAAAGATTACTACTGTAATCCCCTTCCCCCCATCACTCTGCCACCCTCCCCGTACCACCGGTATCCGTTCAAAACATAGTCAGACTTGTCACCAGCAAGACTGCTCAAAAAGTTGCCCCGTGTATCATCAGCTTTACTGTAAAAGTTACAGTAGAGAGTAGTCTGAAGCACACCTGCCTGTTTTCCTCTCTGAAGGTTCTTATGATTGAGGCAACGGTGAAGCGACTCAAGTTTGGCTGTAGTCGTTGCCCGGCCTCCCTCATAGTCATACCATGGACAAGGACATGGTCAACCAGTGTGGCACGAATTTCATCTGAGACTGCTTGTCCCCTCCCCCTTCTCCTCCTCCTCCTTTCCCTGCAGTCTCTCTGCCTGGCTGTCTCGTTAGTCCTTATCCCTCTCACCTGTGTTGTTCCTGCCTGCTCGTTAGTCCCTGGTGTTAAATGTTTGCTGTTTCTGTCAGGCCTTATGATGAATATTCTGCCTGTTGCTCTACTGCCAATTCTGTACTTCGGCTTTTGCCACTTTCCATTACCCGTAAGTTTTGTTTCTGCCTTTTGTTTTGGATTAAAACTGTATGTCTGCTCTCCAGTGTCTTGCATTTGGGCTTTCTCCTGTTTTGTATTCACTAAACCCTGACAAGTATATTATGTTAACATGTGTCAGGTGGCTGGAAACAACTCTGAGTGACTGCTGATGTTTCATGTTGCTGCTGGAACTGTGAATGGCAACTGTTATCAGATTAACAATGACAACTTTTTTTTTAAGATTTTAATATGGTGGATAATGTGTGGAGTTATTTTTACAGCTTGAGCGCTATGAACTGCAAATGTTTGTTCAGTAAGCTATTTTTTTTTTTTTATCTCCTGCAGTGATGGGCTTATATCCAGTCCTGCCATTCATCCTGCTGTTTTCAGCTACTCTGTCCTCCAGTTGTGATGGTGGAAAAGTGCTGGTTTACCCTATAGATGGAAGCCACTGGCTTAACATGAAAATCCTGGTGGAGCTGCTTCATTCTCGGGGCCATCAGGTTACAGTACTACGTTCCTCCACCAGCTGGTATGTTTCCGAATTCTCACCCCATTACACCTCCATTACCATTCCCCAGGAAAAGTCCCAAAACATGGAGAGCCAAGCCTATATGACCTCTTTCTTGAAGAGATCAATAGAGATCCGTCAGAGCAAAGGCTCACTATGGGCATTTCTGAACTTCTATTGGAACCTTTTCAACATGATGGGGGAGAACCAGCAAGTTGTGGCAAAACTGGTCATCTGCATCTTTGAGAATAAAACGCTAATTAAGGAGCTGAAGGAAACTGCATATGATGTTTTTCTGACTGACCCTGCATTTCCAGGTGGCGTGCTATTGGCACACTATCTCCAGCTTCCCTTGGTTTTCAATGTGCGCTGGCTTTTCAATGGAGAGGCCCACTTCGCCATCGCTCCTTCTCCTCTGTCCTACGTCCCTGAATTGTTTTCTCACTACACTGACAAGATGGACTTTTTTGAAAGAATCAATAATATAATCTGTCATAGCATGTTGGTTTACATGTACTATTATGTGTCAAACCCTCCTTACCAGGCTGTGTGTGATGAATATTTTGGACCTGATGTCAGCGTCATGTCGCTCATCCAGGGAGCTGACCTCTGGTTAATGCGGTCTGACTTTACATTGGAGTTCCCTCGTCCCACCATGCCAAACGTTGTCTACATCGGGGGGTTCCAGGGTAAGCCCTCAACGTCTCTCCCATCAGATTTAGAAGAATTTGTGCAGAGTTCTGGTGAGCATGGGGTTATTGTCATGACGTTGGGAACCCTGATAGGTGACCTCGGCCCAGAGATATCGGAGTACATTGCCTCAGCATTTGCCAACCTCCCTCAGAAGGTCATGTGGAGGCACATTGGGAAAAGACCCATCACTCTGGGAAACAACACCATGCTGGTTGACTGGCTGCCTCAAAATGATCTACTAGGTCACCCTAAAACCAAGGTTTTTGTCACACATGGGGGTACTAATGGAATTTACGAGGCTATCTACCATGGTGTCCCAGTTCTGGGCATTCCTCTTATCCTTGACCAGTATGACAACATGGTGCGTCTGAAGTCCCGAGGGGTGGCTGAGATTGTTGACGTGACGACCTTTGATGTTGAGTCTCTGACGAGTGCTCTCAAGAATATTCTAGATCCAGAAAAGCCATACAAGAAGAATATGGTCAAACTTTCACAGCTCCATAATGATAAACCAATAAAACCCAGAGACAGTGCCATGTTCTGGATGGAGTTCGTCATGAGGCACAAAGGTGCAGCACATCTGCGCACGGAGTCCTATAAATTGCCATGGTATGCCTATCATAGTCTAGATGTGATTGCAGTTTTTGTAGCATCTAGTCTACTGATCATCACATTAGTTTGGGTTTTCTGTCGATGTCTCATTAGATGTTTAATACGTGTCAAGAGGTCCACATCCAAGTCCAAAAATGAATAGATAACTCAATGATAAAACAGACTGGTAATTTACAGTGGTACAGACTCTTTGGGATAACTGCAGGGAAAGAGATACAGGACTTCAATGAATATTATGATGGTGGAAATTAACTTTTATAATAGCTGTAAAATGTTCAAACTAGCAGCACTATTCTTTGTGCTGAACTGACTTTTTGCAAACTGAACATCCAATTTAATTTCAATACTTATTTGAATACAAAGTCACAAAATGGGTTTGGACACTTTATTTTTTTTTTTTTGATTAGACAAACATCAGGAGCAATCACAGAATGAATACATAAAGACTATGATGGGAGTATGGTTCATAATTCTTACAGGGGGATTAATTTGTTTTCATCATATTACTATTAAACATGTTTTACTTGTGTTAAACCTGCCTTGCAGTTTATTACAAGATTAAAGAATAATTGCAGCTTATCAATACTTGTCTTATTTTTTGCAGTTTTGACTGTCATTCTTATTCGTAACAAACATTTTATACAGCTAGTTAGTTCCTGGGATTTCAGAATGGGAACAAGAAGTCCAACATAGCAAGAAACGCAAGCAGTACAATGATTATTCAGGTTTTCAAATTGATTTAAAAGATAAAGCAAACCGTAAAACTATTACCAAAAAGTATGAAAGCCAGACAGCACAGATTGTGATTTGGATTTTGGCTGAAACAATGTATAACTGACACCTTAAGTACAATTTATACTTCGGCATGTAGACCCTACGCAGGAGTATAAATTGAGCTTTAGAGTGTCTTTTAGTACAACTCAACATTGAAAAAGACATTTTTAGGCGATCAAATAACTGAAGTGGAAAAGTAGGGTAAACAATTTAACTAATATCACCATGAAACGTTTCTGGTTGATTACTTTAAGACAATATTTTTATTGTATTACAGGTTTTCTGAAATATTATGTTAAAGTATGCAAATGAGGCAGTATTAAGAATTATATACAAGAATTTAAATCTGAACACTGAATTAAGTCAGGTTTTAAATTATTTTTTGGGGGGGGGGGGGGATTTCGGTTATATATATTTTTTTATTTTATAAATTCAAAAAACAGGCATAAAAAAATATATTTGGCACCTGTTTTGGGGAATAAAATGGTCTATAAATTAGGCTATGAATGACAAACTGTAAACCTTCAAAATATAGTCAGGAAGACCTCTGAAACGTTTTGTGCATGTAAGTGCTATTAAAATGGAGATTGTAGGCTCAAAGTATGAGGAAAAATTAATTTTGAAAAAAGGCCTGATAAGTATTATAAAATTCTATACATTTTCATTGAAAAACAATATTTACAGAGTCAATATCGAATCAAATCCTTAACAACACCACTATATAACATCTCAAATATATCAAAACTGATAAATGAGTAACAGCATGTCTGAAGAGTCACACTTAAACACAGAAATAAATTGGCTCTGACAATATCTAAATAAGCGCCCAATGTCAGCTGGGATTGGCTCCAGCCCCCCCCCGCGACCCTGTACGCAGGATAAGCGGTTGACGATGGATGGATGGATGGATGGAATATCTAAATAAGGGTTGCGACCAAGCGGCAACCTCCGGCTCTCACTTCCGATACCAATACGAAAGTATCTGAAACTGCAATTCATCGAGTGGCCACTTGAGGCTCGCTGCAGAAGGGAGTAAATCTCCACTGACCCCCATGTTAAAATGCCCAACTTTACAGCAGAATAAAACATGTTTACAGCCTGGTTCAAAAAATGGTTTTAGTGCAAATCGCTAATTTTGTCCTTCGTGACAACTGTGAGGGGGGTGAATTTTTTTTATAACTCACCTGTTTAAATTATATTAAGCCTTAAAGTTCTGCATTATTAGGGGCGTGGCCACTTTGATTGACAGGCGCCATTAGCCGCTGCCACTGCTAGCACTCGGTCCGCCGTCTGTTAGCCTCACTCAGCTACACGGAGCTCTGAGGCTCAGCCTGTCGGAGCCTTTTGGACATTTCTACATGCAGATGCTGGATGAATAATGGCAGGCTGTGCAGTTCATTGGAGAGAGATCCTTCAGGAAATCCGTGTTCTACTTGGTGAGTGAAATTCCTGTACTTTATTTATGTGTTAACATTTAACAGGTATCGCTGTCGGCATATAGCTTGTTAGCTTAACGTTAGCTTGTTACGCTAATTAGCCATTAGTGTAAGCAACGTTACAACGTTAGTGTGGGAGAAGCCAAAATGCGTTAGATTAACTTTGATGGTCCCTAAGCTAACCCCCGTTGGTTAAAAGCGAGCCATCAGAGGTGAGCTAACTGTACTTATACAACCGTCACTGGGTGAACTGACTAAAAAGCCGTCACTAGATCCTGGGTGAATGTCTGTCGAATATCCAACTTAAAACTAACTTCACCGCGGTCTGCCAGAAACTGTCACACCGAGGAGCACCGATGCCATTATTTGAGCTAGCTGTCTCTCCCGAGGAGAGCCGTGTACCTCCAAGTGTAACTTTACTGTTTAAAAATGATACACTATTCTTTGTGGGGTTCATCTGTGGGGATGATTGATTCGAAGTACATATTAAAGGCAGTTTAGAGTCATCAATAAGTTATTACACTTAGATGTAGCATTCCTTGAGATTCAGCAAACAATTTGAGGTGATAACTGCGTTTGATCCTTACAATAAACGTTCAATAAGCTCTGACTTGAGTAGTTATTAATGCACAGTGTCCAGCAGAAAACCGTATATTGCACATATTAGGAAACGGTGTATTTCACATTGCCACCCCTAATTACTGTCACATGCCAGAGAGGTTTTCATGCTGAGGCGATCTGAGTTCAGCAGCTTTATGGCTCTTTGGAAGAAGCTGCTTAACTGTCTACCCATTGTTGTCTTTACAGGTGCCAGAGGAGCTGATTGCAGAACCCTCCAGATGTGATTAGCTGTGTCCAGCTCTTCAGGAGAGAACAGCTCAAGCTTCCAGCTCTTCAGCTCCTCCTTTTTCTTTTTACTCACACATGAACACTACTGACGTGAAATTATGACTCTGGGTTCTTAACAGATTCTATCATTATAATAACTCTCAACACATTTCAAGTCATACAAAACTACTTTTACATTTGTAGCCTTTTAATATTGATGATGAATGCGAGACAAGAGTTTAATTTATTAAACTTATTGCTTTTGTACTACTTTGTTATAAAGTGTATCAGAATAATTATACATAATAAAATCATTCCTCATTCATTAGTTTCATATTTTAATTTTAAATAGTCTGATCTAAACTTAATATTATAGATAACAGCTGTAAATGAAAATATTAAGATGTCATTTATAGGCCAACATTTTGCATATGTTAGTAGAAAGTAAAAAATGAAAGGTAGATGTTATATACTGTTTTATTTTGACATTTCTTTAAGAGACATTGAGTGAGAAGTTACTCTAGTGAAAAACAAAGACTTATATGCACAGTGAACAGTTTTGAAGCCCTGTAGGTGGTGTCATTGCAACCTCTGAGAAGGTCTTGTGTGGTTTACAATGTATAGACACCCATTTACCACATGTGCATTCAGTCAGCTCTGAGACCTCAGAGTTTGCAAGGCCACAATAACAAACACCTTGTGGGATTCATAATTACTCTGTGCAGATCATTCTTTGTTTCAGCACTTACCCACAGGATGGTTTGGATGTGCCCACATTATTTTGTGTTTAAACTAGACTTATATCAGAGCAGCAAACAAGGCACTCTTCAGAAACTTCAGGCTCTGTTATACAGTCTGTGGTTACTGGGTGTATGGCTCCTTATTTATCTTAAAGTAGAAAGTAAAAATACTCCTGCACACACAGAAATACACTGCATAATGACTTTTCAACATTTCATGTGAAACATGTTTGGGAGTATTTTCACTTTTTCACTTATACTAGACTGATGTTCTTAAGCAAGAGTTCAGTTTTAATGTTTCATGTTTTATCTGTGGTATATGATTAGCTTTTCAGTAAGTAGTAAAGACAGGGAGTGTAAATATATATAGAATTTATTAAAAGTGAACCATAAACCATATATTTTTGTTAAATGGACCTATAACACAAATATGGACAATATTTGAAGTGCAAATAAACAGACGGAGAGAACGCCTTTCCATGTCAGTCTGCACCATCAGCACAATGAGGACTCCAGGTCTCGGCAGCTCTCTGGCAGCAGGTGGGACATCTGATCCACAGTGTGACTCTGGGAGGAAAATGTGTAATAAATTCTTCAGGTGATAAAAAATATAAAGTAAATACAGATGATTCTTTAATAAATAGAATATTGTGTTAAGTTAATTTTCTAACGTAATTTAATTCAAAAAGTGAATCTTTGATATATTCTAGATTCATTACACAAAGCAAAGCATTTCAAGCCCTTTTTGCGTTCATCTTGGTCATTACGGTTTACAGCTCATGGAAATAAAAACTCCACTATCTCAAAATTTATAAACATTTCAGAATAAAAATACATTTCTGTATTATAAATTATACAGAAATGACTAGAGAAGAGCTCTCTAATCAGCTAATTAACTCAAAACACCTGCAAAGGTTTCTGAAGCCTGTAATCTCTCAGTCTGATTCTGATGCTCACAATGAACCTTTCCTCAGTATTCTAATTTTTTGAGATGGTCCTCTAAAAGATTCCTCAGTGTTTTAATGTTGACAGCACTATTACGTCACATAAGTGGGAGAAAATGGAACATGGGAGACTCTTTAAATGTTTTTATGCTGTCCTTTTAAGACAGACAATTTTACATCAGCTGTCAAATGTCCAGTATTTTTAACTGTTTTCCCACTAGTCTGAAAAAAGGCATTTTACGGAAGAAAAGTAGCCCGAAATCTCAAAATTGACCAGTGCATGATAAAACAATATTTTTGCCTGCTGTGTCTTGCTTCAACTGTCATGCACTAAAATCATACTGTGGAAGGGTCAAAGTTCTTAAATGAAAACACAGACAAAACCCAAAAACAAGTTCACTGCCAGTTAAATGTACACAAGGCCCTGGATACGATTCGCCACTATTCTGACTGATAGGTGGTAGTGACTTGTCAGTCAGTCACAAGGTAGCCACACCCTATAGCGTACCCTGCTGTATATTTTCTCTAAATAGGACCATCATTTACAAAATGAACATCATGCGATATTGAAGAAGACTTGAAATTAGTGACAACCAGTGGAGTCGCCTTTTGCTGACAATTACAAAGAATGCAGGTTTAAGGCACTTCCACATTGGCTTCACCTTTCAAATCCAGCAGTTCCCCTTCTTGGACCAAAACTAGACAAAGCTGCTAGAAATTACGTGACCCGCAAACTCGCAACTATGTGGGCATATCTCTGAAAAGTGTGTGTTGTAAACTTTGCTCTGAAGAAGTACATCTGAAATTCAAGTTTCATCTTTTTTCTCAAGTTGCGCACCAGTTTCCCGCTTTACAAGGTTGTAAATGTGTTGGAGAAACACTGTTAAAACAGTACTGCAGATGTGAAGAAGGAAAACTCAAATACAAAATAGTAGAGATTTTAATTAAATTTTTTTCAGCCTACCACAAAATTATAGACATATTTTTTTTATTAGATTTCGAGCTAGTCACAACATTTTAAAGCTCTTTTTCCAGTTTCAAGATATGGCATGATATTCATCCTATAATTACAGTACAGTATAAGCAAAGAGAGTGCAGAAGTTCTCCCAGACCTAGACAGAGATAATCATGTCAAGGTAGGCTACATTAAAGGATAATTCCAGTTCAACATAGTTGCTAATATATGGGAACTCTGTGACATTGCCTTGAAAAAGTCCGTCAGGGCATGAACCACAAGCATAGGGGTGATCAGACATGTTGTAAAAAGCCAACAGTTTAGCCAGTTTTGAGACATGGCATACATGGGCCTAGGTTTACCCACCCCAACCGCATAGTTGAGAGCATGTGTGAAAACAAGCCCTGTAAAAGTGCCAAATTGAAAAAACTAGTGCCACCATGCTGAAAAGGTGCTGTGTCACATTTTGCACATCGAACAATAAAAACAAACAAAAAACCCTCAACTTTTTCTTTACTTCCCCAAAGAGCGAAGGGAAGTAAAAAAAAGAGATCTGTGGCTTCAGGCCATCATCAGAGAGAATGAAAATGGTAAACTGTGGGGCCAAGCCAGTTGTGAACTTCTGTGTCAAAGTGAATGCTGCTGCTACACAGCAGTTAACGCCATGCACACAGCGGCACAGACAGTAACTGACTACTGTTACAGCCACACAAACATTCACACACATATACACATACTAAAACATGTTGTCTGCGTGGAGGTGAAGAAGACACAAAGCTCTCAATTTAAAATACCTGTAAGTCCAAAATAAGCTGTGTTTCCTTACATTTAGACTTTACTTGGGAGACCACCAAATTAACCAATTTTAGCACTTTATCAAGTAGACATTATCAGAAAAACAGAAAGACATTACATATTACGTTCGTGCTAATGAGCATCCTAATAAAGATTTTCTATTAAAGAAACATCAAAAAAGTCTATGTGTATGCTCTCAATTATAGATCTTTGAAAGAAAGAAAATCTTAATCAGCCAAAATCGGAATCACCACAGACTTTTTAAAAATCGGAATAATTACAAGCATCTCTAGTTTCTACTGTGAAAAAACATGGCCCTACCATAAAACACCTGCTTTTAGAATGGAGATTGGTTTAACAGTCTGTCAGTGATGTAATTTGTTTTTTAGTAAAGTCACATTGGACAGACTACCAAAACAGCAAATCAGAAAAAGTGACAAATATCAGAAGATCCAGTCAAATTAAAGAGGCTGCTTTTACTCAAAAAGGTGGGCAGGGACAGGCTGCTGTAATTTATAAATGGTATCATTATCACCCCACAAAGTTGTATTAAAAGAAAATTGCAGAACAACAGAACAACACAGCAGGCTGTGGTTTTGTTGAATTTCCTGTTTATTGGTCAACCTGTGGCTAACGCAAAGAAAAAAAATTATGTACAGCAAGAACTTTAGTTTGAGCTGTTGGTATACAAACAGTTAATTTTAAACTTTCAACTCTTGTTAATCTTCATCTGCAGTTTGTACCACAGGCACATGGCCGGAGATAGAAAAAAACACATTACTGAACGTCTGACGAGCTTGCTGGTGTAGACGTCTGAGCTGAGCAGAAATATCTTCATTTCCATGGAGGTAAACCAGAGGGTTGAGAGCACTGTTCAGACACACAAGTCCACGACTTATCTGATGAGCAATGTAGACTCCATTAAACCATTCATAGCATATTCCCTTTTTGGACAGAACTCTTACTAAGAGGTTCAGGTTCTGGAATACATGATAGGGAACGTAACAAACAGAGAAGAGAAGAATCAAGATGAATAACAATTTCAGGCAGCTCTGTTTCAGTACCTTGTCAGTGGAATTTGTGCGGCAAAGAATGACAATCACATGTCCATAGCAGCCCAGTGTGATGAGGAATGGGACACAAAACCCAGTGAGTGTCCGTCCAAAGCTGTATTTCAGGTAATCCTCAACACGGCTCTTATTTGTGGTATCATAACATTTCCCAGTGGTGTTTCCAAATGTTTTTGGGTAGAAAATCCCTGGAAGACTTTGAACGCTCACTAAGCACCAAACCATGACAGAGACAGCCACAGAATGAGTGACAGTTATTCTTCCCATCACTCTCATTGGATGGGCAATGGCCAGGTACCTGTACACACTTATACAGGTGAGGAACCCGATGCTGCCATATAAATTCAGGTTGAAGCAGAATCTTGTTATCTTGCAGAATGTATCTCCAAAGATCCATTTACTCTTCTTAAAGTAGTACACCATCAGAAAAGGGAGTGTGAGCAGATACAAAATATCTGCAAGTCCGAGGTTGAGAACAAAAACATTGACGTTACCCAGTTTCTTCCAGTTGTGGAGTAAAGACTTAAATCCCCATCCATTCGCTACCAGGCCAATGATGAATACTAAGATGTAAACAGGAGGCAGGAACTTATGTTCAAAGCTGAAACTGACACAAGAAGTTATATTCATTTTGTCTTCTGAAGAGAAGTTGGCATAAACCTTTTCCTCTGTGGACGATCTGGCTTATGAAAGGAAAAAGAAAATGTGACCTGCTATTTGTTCAAAGTCGACTTCCTGTTTGAAGCCCTGCTGTCTCAACTGTAAATTTGAGATCACAGATTAATGTAGAGCAACATCTCTACACGTGCATGCAACCTTTTACCATTTGCTTGCTTGTGCACAACCACTGCTCACTATTCTGTCATTTGTAAAAGCATTGTATGAGTATCTGTACGACATATCATGATGGATGTGGTCTCGTTAAAGAAACCGTGGTGTGGTACGCTTCGGTGTTATCTGTTTTTCATGCCTTCCTAGCTGTTGATAGAAATCACAGAAGCATGTAAGGCATTGTCTAGCCTACAGTGTTGTCTGTCTAATACGCAGTTAGCCTACATAAACATGTCTTACTTAGTTTAAATACTTAAGGCCCATAAAATAATAAATAGACAAAAAATTGCCCCCCTTCTTCCATACACACATAAACATCAAAATGATTTGCTAAGGTGTAGTGCCAAGATAACACAACAGTCTAGGGTTGAATGTTTCAGTCAGAATTCCCACAAGTGCTCATTATGTGAGAATTTTAGCACACAAAGTACATGTGCATGATATTATTTATGATGACAAATAAGTGTGTAAACTGTTGGGACACATGGAAACGTACACACAAATGTGTAAGAGTCTCCCTCTGGTGGTAGAGTAGCTACTTCAGAGGGAAAACACCCACTAAACCTTTCTGAACAATCATTACAATATATTCAGATTACATATTTAGTGAAATGATTCTTTAACTAAACTTTAGTTAAAAAAGCTAAATTATACTTACCACTGTTTTACCGACATCAACTGAAGTACCTGTTATAGCATGCACTTTTCTGTGACTGTGGCGAAGGGCTGGAACCATGAAAGACTTCCCACAACAAACCCACAAATTCACATATTAGGGTTCTTAAAGTGTCCTTAAAGGGTGGCTGGTAGCTTTTTGCAGGAAAGGAAAGTCAAGCTGTTGTTTTAAAGGTACAACTCTGTTATCTTGTGAGTCTTCCTATTTGCTCTAGCAGATGCTGAAAAAGTTAAATCGAATCGCATCCTTAAAACCCAAAGTCAGTTCAAAATGTGGATTTGGAGAATCATTACACCCTTAATACTATATATAAAACACATATATATAATAATTTGAAAATGCTGTGCAGGAGAGTTGGAAAGCTGAAGACTTTTTAGAAGACAGAAGACAGACATTTTAACAATATGCTGAGCAGTTTTAAGTTGTTTGGGATTGTAGTCAAAAAAACTGCATAACAGTACAGCCACACTAGCAGCTCTGTGAGGCTGTAAGACTCATTATGAAGAAAACCTCTGTTGGATAGATAAAAGTCAAGGTCTCAAGTTTGTTATTGATACTTAGTGGTGAAGTTAATATGAAAATTGGCCAAAGAGTGGTGTCAAAGTCAAGGTTTTAGCTTACTTATATGAAAAGGTTTATCACTTTGTAAGCACAAAAGGGAAAGAGATGTGTGTGGCAGTGCAACAGTTTTTTTTCTTTGTTTGTGTGTGTGTTTGTGAGGGTGGTTCACTTGGAAAGGTCATCATATGTAGTTACTCCTCAAGTAGGTACTCCTCAACATATCTCTTATGAGTGGTATCGTAAGATTTCTCAGTGCTGTTTCCAAACGTTTTGGGGTACATGTTATTCTTCCCATCACTCTCATTGGATGGACAATGGCCAGGTACCTGTACACACTTAGACAAGTTAGAAACCTGATGCTGCCATCTAGTAGTGACTCATGCTTTGGTGCCTGGTTGACTGAAGCAATGTGTCTTAAAAGATTGCTTCCTGGCAAATGTTCATTATTCTCTGGTTCTTACTCAACACAAAATATAGATGTGATCACTGATGGTGGGTGGGTAAAATAATATCAAGGGATGCATGTGTGGCACCAGCACACCTGGGGCTCATCCCCTTTGATTGGGAGAGGTGGGGAGCTCTCTTTTTAAGCCTGTGTGGTAGAGTCGTTTGGTTTTCTGTCTTCTCCTGTTGGGTGTGGAGACGTGTTTGGGCTGGCGTGCTGTATGCTTGTTGCCGCTGCCAGAGGTTGTCAGTTTCCTGCGGAGTGGTAAGGAAGTCTTTATTTTTTCTCTCTCTCTTTTTTTCTTTCTTTCCTCTCTCTATCCTCGTGCCTTTCAGTGCATTGTTGTGCGGGTGGCACTAACGAGCGTAACGACAGTGGATAGATGAATACCTGGGCTGCTGGCGTTGGGTGCCTCGGTAAGCTACATGCCTCCCTCTTCGTCCCACTTAGTGTTTATCAAGATCTAACGGTCTTATTTGTTATAGTTGAGTGCTGTGTGGGGATTGCTTGCCCCCCTGCCGGGGTCTGAGGGTGGCGTGTCCTTACCTTGTTTGCTTTAATTTATCGTGGCCCTATTTTAATGGTGTTTTCACATCACAGCAGGACCGAGCTACAGCCGTTTTCATGATGCTGTCGAGGCTGCCTGGTGCCCATTAAGAGGTTAACACTCCCCGGTGCGTTTCTCCTCCCACTCTTTCTGTTCTGGATATCGGTATAAAACTTTGCTGTATATTGATACAGTGTCTGGATATGACTGTCCTGGATGTACAGAACTGGTTTGGAGCGATATGTTTAAGTGTTTGAATATCCAGACATTGGCTCTGTAAATATTGGTATTAACTGGATACATATTGCATGTGGGTTTTTGTGTTTGATTTTGATTCCTTAATTACGCATGCGGGTTTGTTGATTTGAATGGTGTTTGGGTTTTTTTTTTTTAATAGAGCAGGTGTTGCTATTAAAATATGACCAAATAAATTGTATATTTTATAATTATTTTTTATTGTCTCTCCCCCCTAATTTTGATAAAACTTACTGTAATGGCGTTGTCGGACATTTTCAGCTTGAGTGTCATAGGCCGCTCGTTCTGCCACTCATGCAAGCATGCATTCAAGTGTAAAATGACACTTTATTGAACTCTCTACACGGTGTTAAAAAATGAAAACAAAGTGCGTCAAAGCCGATGGATACTTTACGCTTCGATTACTTGTTTAATGAAATGTATGGGGTTGCTCTTATGTTGTATGATTTGGCAATATTGTTACACATTCATGCCAATAAAGCTAATTTGAATTGATATCTACAGAGATAAAAAGACTAAACAGAACGAGCACATTAAGTACAGCGTTAAACAAGCAGGGACGGAATGACCAAAGTGAGGATTATCTGCATGCGGACGTGCTAGCAGACAGGGTTAACCTCCCTCGTGTTCCTGTATTACCACCTTCTCTCCACTAGATGGCACTGTTGCAAAAGAACTAGGGTCCTAGGATTGCGGGGGTAGTGTTGCTGCTGTCAGCAGGGCTGTGTGGGATTACTGACAGATTCTTGAGGTTCTGATGCCTCCCCATCTGGTACTCAAAGCTTAAAATAACATTGCAGGTCTTGGCTACTGGACATTGACAGCTGATATAAAATTGTCTTAAAAGGACAGCACAAACATTTAAAGACGTTGTCCCTTGTTCCATTTTTCTCACATGTATGTGACATAATAGTGCTGTCAACATTAAAACACTGAGGCATCTTTTAGAGGACCATCTCAAAAAATTTAAACAGTTCATTGTGAGCATCAGAACCAGACAGATTACAAGCTTCAGAAACCTTTGCAGGTGTTTTGCGTTAATTAGCTGATTAGAGAGCTCTTCTCCAGTCATTTCTGTATAATTTATAATACAGGAATGAATGTATGTATGCTAAAATTTTAATACATTTTGAGATGGTGGAGTTTTTATTTCCATGAGCTGTAAACCATAATCATCAAAATTAAAGCAAAAAGGGTTTGAAATGCTTCACTTTGTGTAATGACTCTAGAATATATCAAAGATTCACTTTTTGAATTAAATTACGTTAGAAAATTAACACACGTGGAAGGCATTCTCTCCTTCTGTTTGTTTTGACTTTTAAATATTGTCCATATTTGTATCATAGATCCATTAAAAAAATGTGTTTTTTGGGTCTTTGTAATTCTATATATTAACACTCCCTGTCTTTACTACTTACTGAAAAGCTAATCGTATACCACAGATAAAACATGGAACATTAAAACTGAACTCTTGCTTAAGAACATCAGTCTAGTATAAGTGAAAAAGTGAAAATACTCCCAAACATGTTTAACATGAAATGTTGAAAAGTCATTATGCAGTGTATTTCTGTGTGTGCAGGAGTATTTTTCCTGTCTACTTTAAGATAAATAAGGAGCCATACACCCAGTAACCACAGACTGTATAACAGAGCCTGAAGTTTCTGAAGAGTGCCTTGTTTGCTGCTCTGATATAAGTCTAGTTTAAACACAAAATAATGTGGGCACATCCAAACCATCCTGTGGGTAAGTGCTGAAACAAAGAATGATCTGGACAGAGTAATTATGAATCCCACAAGGTGTTTTTTATTGTGACCTTGCACATGTGGTAAATGGGTGTCTATACATTGTAAACCACACAAGACCTTCTCAGAGGTTGCAATGACACCACCTACAGGGCTTAAACTGTTCACTGTGCATATAAGTCTTTGTTTTTCACTAGAGTAACTTCTCACTCAATGTCTCTCAAAGAAATGTCAAAATAAAACCGTAACATCAACCGTTCATTTTATACTTTCTCAACATATGTAAAATTTTAGCTATAACATCTTAATATTTTCATTTACAGCTGTTAACTAATGTTAAATTTAGATCACACTATTTAAAATATGAAACTGATGATGAATGATAAGTATAATTATTTTGATATACTTTATAACTTGTATTCCTAATACAAAGGCAATAGTTGAATAAATTAAACTCTTGTCTTGCATTCATGAGAACATCAATATTAAAAAGTTACAAATGTAAAAGTAGTTTTGTATGACTTAATGTGTTGAGTTATTATAATAGAGCTGATAAGAATCCAGTGTCATAATTTCACATCAGTAGTGTTCAGGTGTTGTGAGTAAAAAAAAAAGCTGGATCTGTTCTCTCCTTGTAGAGCTGGACACAGCTAATCACACCTGGAAGGTTCTGCAATCAGCTCCTCTGGCACCTGTAAAGACAACAATGTGTAGACAGTTTAGCAGCTTCTTCCAAAGAGCCATAAAGCTGCTGAACTCAGCTTGCCTCAGCATGATAACCTCTCTGGCATGTGGCAGTAATTAGGGGTGGCAATGTGAAATGCACCGTTTACTAATATGTGCACTATACGTTTTTCTCCTGGACACTTTGCAACAATAACTACTCAAGTCAGAGGTTGTTGAACGTTTA